TATTTTGCCATCTGGAGAGTGATTGATTGAGGAGACAACTGTTGGGTCAGGACTGTAGCTCAGTGGCACAGTGTCCACCCTGCAAGCGTGGGGCACTCAAAGGGCCGGGTGTGTAGCTCAATGGTGCTGCACCTGCTGGGGAAATGCAAGGCCCTGAGTTTGATCCCCAGTGCTAGGGAAAAAAAAAAAAAAAACGCGTCAAAAAGCTGGGCATGGTGGCACATGCCTGTAATCCTAGGACTGGGAAGACTAAAGCAGGATGGCCGCACTTTCAAGGCCAGCCTGGGCAACATGTTGAATTCAAGGCCAACGTGAACTACACAGAGAGACTCTGTCTCAAAAAAAACCAAACCAAAAACAAAAACTGCATCAAAGATCCCTAAATTTATTCTTCCCTCATTTCCTTCCTCCTACAGACTGAGACAATCTCAAGATTGGAAAGAAGTTAGAGGCTAACCTACACACAGCCCGGACGAATCTCACAGCCACAGCTGAGCAAAGCAAGTCGGACTCCCAAGAGTAAAACTACTGTGTGATTCCTCCCAGAGGGAGCACAAAAGCTGTCAGGATAACTCAAAGCGATGCAAGTCAGAACGATGGCTATCTTTGGGAGTAGTTTGGGAGAGGCCATGAGGGACCCTTTCTCAGCCTGACTAGGTTGGTGGTTGCATAAATCCTACAAATATGTAAAAATTCACCTCCAGTTACACTCAAGGGTGTGTGCTTTACTGCATGCCAGTCATACTTCTGTTTGTATAAGGAGATCGAAATTAGTCCTGTGGCTTCCATCTTCAAGGATTTCATAAATACCTCCCTTCCCCTGACCCCCGCCAAATTCTTCCAGGAAGCACTCTTCTACAGTAACTGTGGATTAATATTATACTTAGAAAAAGATATTTTTTCTACTAATTCTCCATAACGAAACCTCAGATTGAAACACTTGCTGTTTAGCTTTAAAAAGTGACTGATTCTAGCTGGGTGTAATGACACATACCTATAATCCCAGCTACTCAGGAGGCTGAGGCAAGGGGATCACAAGGTCAAGGCCAGCCTGGACAACTTAGCCAGACTCTGTCTCAAAATAAAATAAAAAGCCTGGGAACGCAGCTCATACTTGAAAGTGTGTTTCTCAGTTCCCACCAGAGGGCGCTAAAAAGTCTCCCTGACTTCATTAGAGTGCCATTGACTTGTCCCTGGTTTCTAAAACTAGAGCTCTTTAAGCATTACTCCTCCATGTGCTGCTGCCGGCTGAGTAAACACACGCTGCCCTGTCCCACTTCGCCCACCGGCACATAGCACGTTCAGCCGGGTGAGAGAAGCCACGATCTCTACCCGCAAACATTTTTAAAGATAGGGGTGGGCATGGGGACGTTTGTCTGTTTCTAATGATTCAGCCTTAAGCACTGGCTCTATCCTAGCCAAAAGCTGGATAGGAGCTCTCATCCTCAGGTCCCCGGATGGTCCAGTAGTTGTCATTTCTCCCAGACTGGATTTTGACCCTAACTGCTTTAGATAGGAGAAGCAGCCCAGGGAGAGTGCAAAGTGAATCCTGCATAAATGATGAACTTCTAAAGCGACCCCAGAGGAGCACGACGAGCAGGCTGTGAAGGTTCGACCCCTTACAGCCGCCTGGCTGAGGACGGACAGAAGGGAGGTGGGGAAGGAAAATAGTGCTCCCAACATTCTCGCCTCTTTCCCCTGCTGGGCAAAAAGAAGAAGTCTCTGGCAGCTCCTTAAAAGCGACTAAGACTTTCAGGAGTGGGGAAAAGGTCCTCCTACTTCCCTGCAAGATGTCTGAAAGTTTAATGTGGCTTTGTCTTGATCTGGACATGAGGAAGGGAGAGCAGACCCAGTGTGGGAAGTGGCCATGAAGACGTTACAGCTGTGGATTTTTTTAGTGCTGCCTCCCTCACATAGGACCCACCATGAGCAAGACTAGCCTCTCCACACTTCACGCTCAGCTAACCCTCACCAGTCATCTGAGCTAGGTAAGTATCACAAAAACTTTCTTAGAACTGGGGACACTGAGGCACAATGTGGTTGAGGGCGTTCTGGACTGAATTGTGCCTTCCCCTTCCAATTTCTATGTGGAGGCCCTAACACCCACTGTGACTGTGCTTGGAAATAGGGACTTCAAGGAAGTGATCTTTAGGCTAAATGACAGGGACAGGACCCTATTCCAACAGGACGGCTGTCCTTATGAGGAAGAGACACCAGGAGTGTAGAAGGCAGAGGACAGGCCGTGTGATGACACAGTGGACAGGCAAGACAGGAAGCCTGCTCACCCCTGGCCGTGACCTTGCAGCCTGCAGAACCATGAGGAGATGGAGTTGCTTGTGGAAGCCACTCGTCCGTGGTTCTGCAACGGCAGCCCTTGCAGACCAATATAGGTGACCCACCTGAGATCTTCCCCTGCAGCTCTCCTGTCCATCGCCTTGTCCCGGGAGCTCTTGCCGCTTGTTCTTCCTGGACTTTCAGATCTCTCAACTAAGGGGGTCCACTGGGTTCCATGGGGTTCTCTCTCCATGCACTACAGCCTGGAAGTTTTCAAAGGAAGCAAACTGGGGCCGGGGATTTAGCTCAGTGGTTCTGCTTCCTGCCTTGCAAGCACAAAGACCCAAGTTCAATCCCTGATATCAAAGGAAGAAAAATGAGGCGATCACGGGGCGAACCTTGTTTTCTCTCAGGGATCGCTGTCCTTGTCTGATTTCTAGTATTCTGAAGTATTGTTTCACATATGCCATCTTTTAAGCACGAAAAAAAAAAATCTGTCCCTGTCACTCCATTTGTTAGAAGCAGAAGTCTCCTGTTCACTCTGTTGGATTTTACAATTCCCTTCATATAAATCCTGTGCCTTCTCGATAAATTTGTGCTTCATGGGCAGGGTGGCTCACACCTATGATCCCAGCACTAGAAAGGCTGAGGCAGGATCTCAAGTCTGAGGACAGAATGAACGACACAGCAAAATCTCAAAATCAAAACAAAACAGCTGCTACAACTCCAGGCTCCTGGATGATTCAAGCAGGAAGGAAGGGGGAAGCATGGAATAGGAACTCCCACATCAGGAAAGCAGATTCCTCAGAATTTTGTTTGTGTTACCTTAGCCAGCATTGTAACATTTGACCACCAGTTTCAGGGTTCTGGTTGGTAATGAAGAATTAACATTGGGCAGGTGACAAACATGGTCTATGAGATACTTGTACATTTTACAATCAACCCTGCTAGGTTTCAGCGAACTATTCTTTTAAATACATTGCCAGATTCTCCTTGGCAAGATTTTAAAGTTTTTCTTAAACCCAGTGCAGTATTCGGGTTTGAACTATGGTAGCAGAGATGGAAAGACTAGAAAATATCGGTGTATTTTCAGGAGCATCAAGGCTCTGACAGACTGGAGACTAACCAGAGAAACAGTAGGACAAGAAACACAGTGTGAACAGAAATAAAAAGAAAGTGCAATAATTCTAAAAGGGGCAATGACCAGTGATGCCAAATGTTAAATTGTTTTCAAACACTAAAGCTGAAGTCTTTGAGAAATTTTTTGAGTTTGAGTTTTACTTGGAATGTCATTAGCTATTTTATTTTAGCTATTAGTATTTTAATCAACATATAAATCTTTCTCTCCAGACTTGTATGAAAATAAAACTATTGCTGTGTTAAGTTTAATAGTTTTAGGTGCTTATTAGTTTTAATAGTGTTTTAATAGGACCAGGGATTTTGCTCAGTGGCACCACGCCTGCCTCACAAGCACAAAGTCCAGAATTCAATCCCTGGTACCAAAAAAACAAAAAAAAAAGTGTTTTAAGTTTTTTTCAAAGATACATACTGAACTATTTATACATAAATTTGTACATCTGGTATTTGCTTCAAAGTAACAGGAGTTATGGAGAAGGTGGACAACAATAAAGATGAAACAAGACTGTGAGTTGATATAGAACATGGCTATGCGTGTGCAGGACTCACTAATTTACATGTACACACGTATTTCCCAGTGGTAGGGACTGAACCCAAGGAAAAGCACTCTACCACCGAGCCTCTGTCTTAAATCATAAATAATTAGTACAGGTTCTATTCCAAAGCATTTATTGCTCTTTTAAAAAGGAACTATACACAGTAGACAGATACTCAACGATGGCCCTGCAGCCCCCGCATTTGTCACGCGCAGCACTGACTGTACACCAGCAACTCCAAGGGCCACTGCCGCCTTTGGTCCTCAACCCCAGCGGATCCACAGCCCAGCTCTAGATTTTGTCAAATTTACAATATTCAAAGCAATAGTGACTGTATTTGTGTGCACTGCCAGCAATTTTAAGCCCAAAAGTTTCAAAGATTAAACAGTTATACACACTTAAAATACATAGAAAAATAATATAATCAGGACTTATAGAAAGTAGGTTTTTACAAAACAACTTCACTACAAGAAATACATCTTTTATCCTAGCACAAAACTATCAAAATATACACTGAAGTATACATTTAAGAAAAAACATTTATTATTTTAAAATGCTGAGTGGGAAGGCATAGACTATGTTTTGATTTACTGATAAAATATTAAAGAGAACTTCAATTTGCCAGCAGAAATATTCACTCCATTGTCAAGCTTCTAAAAACAGTTCTGGAAGGGATTAAACAGCTGTTCCTCTTTCCAAATTCTGTTTAATTTCAGCCGTATACTTCCCATAGAACCTTTCAGCTTTCTTATTGAATTTGGCATTCCTTTCATTAATGTAGTCGATGTCTGCATCATCATTGTAAGGACGTCTTCGACTATATTTGTCTCGTTTTTCAATTCTGAGAAGAAAATAATTTATAAAGTTCAAAATTGCCTTCTTTTTTGATCTTAATAAACCACATATAGATAATTATGATTAGTGTCAGTACTTAGCATATTTGGAAGGAAAAAAAAAAGCAAGCTCAGTCTACATCAATTTCAAGTTTAAAACTACTAATTAGCAGCACAATCTTGGGTAAGTACCAAGAAATGAGGTGGGGGGGGCCGTACAACTGTATTCCCAGCACTCAGAGAAGACTGAGGCAGGAGGATTGCCTCAAGTTCAAGGCCAGCCTCAACTACATAACGAATTCAGACTGAATACCTGAACTACATAGCTAGACCCTGACTGAAAAAAAAAAAAAAAAGGAAATTAAATACAAACTAATCTTTAGAATGTTTCTAAAAGGGCAATGACACATTGTTAGGAACTGGACAAAAGGAATGTTATTTAACACTTATTTATAAGCATTAACAATAATAATACAGCCAATACAATGCATAGTATGTGTCAAACATGTTTTGTTTCATTTTTGTGTGTGGTACTCAAGACTGAACCCACAGAGTACTGAGCTACATCCCCAGACCTTTTCAACACTTTTGTTTCAAGATGGTCTCCCTAAATTACCCAGGCTGGCCTTGAATTTGCAATTCTGCTGCCTCAGCCTCCTGAGTAGCTGGGATTACTAGCATACACAACCACACTTGGTTTAGTCTTTTTAACATTTTATACATATTCACTTCTAAAACAGAAACTCATTCTGGTCTCTTCATTCATCTCTACCAGTGTTAAAAAACACAAATATAACCAGTGTACATTTATTAGAACGTCCTTTCCTCTTCAAATCATATAGAGGAGTGGTCGAAAGTAAAACCCCTTAAAGACTTCTCTTTCGATCTTTCTTCTTCAATCCTAATCACTACAGTCTAGACTTCCCCCAAAGGGACAGGTGATGTCTCTATTCCCAGCCCATGGTGCTACTGGGAGGTGGTTTAAGTGGGGCCCAGCAGGAAGAAGTTGGGGATCACAGGGCGTAAGACCCTGAAAAATACCAGGACCCCTAACCCTGCTTGCTCTCTTTCCTTTCTGTCCACCATGATGGAACAGGTCTCCTCAGCCCTGTGTTCCCACTGTCACATACTGTACCACCACAGCCCAAAGCAACAGGCCAAGAGACCACGGACTGAAAGCTTTGAAACCCTGGGCCAAAATGAAACCTTTCCACCTTGTAAGTTGTTTATCTCAGGTATTTTGTCAGAGTGATGCAAAACTGATTTACTCAATAATAATTCAATTTCACAGTATATTCCATATCCATTCCAAATCATACAGATTCAACCTATATTTGCTATCACTAAAACCACTATCCATCCTAGGTCAAAAAACTACAAGTATCATTTCTCTCTGTTCAATTTTTGCAAAGCACATTAGACTTGGATCCACATGGGAAGTCTGTTCTGTTGTTAAAGCATTTCATTTAACATTTCTAGCTGCTTTACTGAGTACTTACTGTTTTTCCAGATCTACGACCATTCTATCAATTTCTTCTGTGGAAGGCACATGCGTCCCATGGAGAAGACTGTTGGATGTTGGGAAAAACTCTTCGCCACTGAAAAGATAGGAAATGGATTTATTGTAACACTATAAGTGCTCCATTTCCAAATTTTAAGCTAAACTACCACTCGTGATAAGAGATGGTGCGTGTGTGTGTGTGTGTGTGTGTGTGTGTATTTTTTTTTTTTTTTTTTTTGGGGAGTCC